TGTTTTTCTAAGGACACAGCTTCCCTTCCCTTCCACTCCCTTCCACAAACAGAGGCAAAATCACAGGCTAATCACAACCATATTGGGAAGTTAAATATTAATTTCTGTAGCCAATAAATTCCCTGCTTAGTCTGCATGGACCATCGTATAAAGGACTGCGTGGATCCCTCTGGAGCAGAACCCTCTGGTTCACTCCCTCAGAAATGGCTCTTTTATACCGAGGTACCTGGATAGTTCTCCTCCTGACGCTGTCTGTAATCCTGGCTGAAGGTGGAAAGATCCTGGTGGTACCTCAGGATGGAAGTCACTGGCTCAGCATGCGCCCGGTAGTGGAGAAACTGCAGCAAAAGGGACACGAGGTGGTTGTGCTTGTACCCTCCACCAGCCTGTACATGAAGTCAGAGGAGCCTCGGAATTACACAGTCCAAGCCTATCCAGTACCTTACACAGAGGAATACTTGGGTGAAATGCTCAAGGCCTTCGTTACAGCCCATTTTATTGAGCAGTCTGTTTTGAATGTTGTTCTGACCTCCTATCAAAGCACGATAGAACTCTCCTCGGTGTTCTTCGCCAACTGTAAGAGCCTTCTGCAGAACGGGGAGCTGATGCAGTACTTGAAAGAGAGCAAATTCCACGTGCTTTTCACAGATCCCATCCTGATGTGTGGGCCCCTGCTGGCTGAGTATCTTTCCCTTCCTTCCGTCTACTTCCTGCGGGGCTTTCCCTGTGGAATGGATTCTGCTGCTACCCAGTGTCCAAGCCCTCCTTCCTATGTCCCCCGGTTATTCTTGGATAATTCAGACAGCATGACGTTTTCCCAACGGCTGAAGAACATGCTGGTCGACCTGCTGGAGCTCTTCTACTGTAAGCCTATCTATGATAACTTTGAAGAGCTTGCATTTGAGGTTTTCAAAAGGAAAGTGACAGTGACAGAACTCCTGAGCCGTGCATCCTTCTGGCTGATGAGATACGATTTTGTGTTTGAGTTCCCGAAACCTGTGATGCCAAACATGGCTTTTATTGGAGGGATTAACTGTGTTCAGAAGAAAAGACTGTCTCAGGTACAACATTTTCTTCTGTTTTGAGATTGAAAAGACAAAGTACAAAGGTGTCCTAGACTCGCAGAATGGTTTTGGTTGAAAGGGACCTTTGAAGGTCACCTACTTCCAGCCTTCCTGCAATGAGCAGGGACACTGGATGTCTTCAACTCAGTCAGGTTGCTCAGGGCCCAGACCTTGGATGTTTTCAGGGAGGGGGCATTCACCACCTCTCTGGGCAACTTCTTCCAGTGTTTTCATGAAACCCGCTGTAAAAAATTTCTTCCTTATATCCAGTCTGAGCCCACCCTCTTCCAGTTCAAAGCCATTACCCCATGTCCTGTTGCTACCTGCCCATGGAAAAATTCCCTCTCCAGCTCTGTTGGAACTCTTTCTGGTACTGGAAAATGCTCCGAGGTCTCCAGGGAGCCATCTCTAGGCTGAACAACCTAAATTCTCCCAGCCTGACTTCACAGGAGAGTTGCTTCTACCCTCTGATCACTTTGTGTCCCCCCTCTGGATTCACTCCATGTCTTTCCTGTGCCGAGGCCCGCAGAACTGGACTCAGCAGTGTGTGGATTCACATGTCCCAAAAGAAGTGGTTCATGGCAGGATGAAGAAATAGCTGCAGCTCATGAGTGCTGCTAACACTTGGAAGCGATGTGTGCATGTTGCTGTGAAGGGCCGTGCTTTTGCTTCTCGATGCATGGCTGCGCAAAAAAATACACGGCCCAGGCACAGTCAAACCTCCACTCTCCACATTCGTAGTTAGAAATATTGGCCATTACGCCATTAGCTGACTCCTAGACCCGGACCGGCCGCGGCCCTGGCACCCAAGCCTCTGCCCGCCCCTCGCCCCCGTGAGGGCCGAGGCTGCCAGGAGCATGCGCAGAGCTGCGCGCGGGGCGGGGCTGGGCGGTGCCTTGTGCGACCGCTGGGGGGCGGCCGCCGTGTCCCTTCGATAGCTCAGCTGGTAGAGCGGAGGACTGTAGAGGCCGCGCCCCGCGGGAATCCTTAGGTCGCTGGTTCGATTCCGGCTCGAAGGAGACGCTGTGTTTTTTGTTTTTCTGGGACCGGGAAGACGCTCCTACAGACTATTACAAACACGTGTGATACACTAGCAATTCGCCTTTTTTTTTTTTTCTCACTTCATTTATACCTGATAGGATAAGGGGTTTAGCTGAAATTTATATGGAGAGATGAGGAAAGATTTTCTGCTGGCTGTGTATCTTCCCAAAAAATGAAAGTTTTCATTAAGGAAATTTAATTATTCTCAGGGGTAACAGCTGGTTTTGGCTATTGAAAAAAATAAAGCAAAACCCAAAGCCCAGGTATGGTTGGGTGTATTTCTCATATTAATCTTTACTCTAAGTTATGTTTCCCTCTATGAGTGGCATCAGCTTCCTCAGGGAAGAAAGTGCTTTCAAAAATGCTGCATTACCTCAGTCTGTGACAACTCTGTCAGCCTCCAGTGGCAGCAATGGAAAAGAGTCCTTTCCGTGCTCTCTTGATCGGCACACTCCTCCCTTGTGGGCTCAGCAGTGTTTCTGCCCACCCACTCTGTGGGTGTGTTTTTTTCATGGATTTTCCCTGCATTTTGCCATCAGACTTTGGGTGTGGTGGGCTGGTGGGAAGAAGTGCCACAAAGCCAGGGTCCTGCTGAGGGAAGAAGGCGGCACTGAGCCAACAACCTTACCTTGGCCTGTGTGAAGGTGACACACCTTTCCTGACTCACACAAAGCCACCTTTGAAGTCCAAACCTCCCCTGTATCTTTCCTAATCATTTATTGCTTTCTGTGACCTTGTGGCAATGTTCTGATGACCTGAAATGGGAGGAGAGTCAAAAGGGCAGAGGTGGGGCACAGCTACAAAAGCTGGCAAAGCACTCCTGGCCTCACTGCTGCTGGGCTTCCACTCTGCACAGCCTGCACCATGCTGGTGGCACTGGTTCTGCCCTTCCTGTGCCTCCTGAGCCCGGCCGCCGCTGGGAGGCTGCTGGTGATCCCCATGGAGGGCAGCCACTGGCTCAGCATGAAAAAAGTGCTGATTGAGCTGAGCAAGAGAGGACACGAAATCGTGGTCATTGCTCCGGACAACACACTCCTGATCGACTCCTCGGATGTCTACGAACTGAAAACCTACCCTGTGCCATTGATGAAGGAGGACCTGGAAGAACATATACGCTCCTTCAGTGCAAAATCTTTCAGCCAAGAGCCTTTCCTGGTGCGATTCTGGGAGCTTTTGGAAGAGTACCGGAAGAGCGGGGCCATCTTTCATGCTTTGTGCAAGTCCTTGCTGTACAACCAAGAGCTGCTGAAGTACATTGGAGACAGTCACTTTGATGCCCTGCTCACGGATCCCGTGACACCTTGTGGGCAGATCATTGCCCTGCACTTCAACATCCCCAGTGTTTTCTTCCTGCGGATGGTTCCGTGTGCCTTGGACGTTCATGCGGCGCAGGGCCCGGACCCGCCGTCCTACGTCCCACGCATGTTCTCGGAAAACACTGACCACATGACCTTCTCCGAGAGGGTGAAGAACTTCCTGATTGCCCTTTCCGAGTCCTTTCTCTGCAATATTGCCTATTCTCCATTTGAGGAGCTGGCCTCAGACTTCCTCCAAAAACCCATGACAATGACAGAGATTTTAAATCACGGATCCATCTGGCTGAGGAGAATTGACTTTGTCTTTGAGTATCCCATGCCTGTCATGCCCAACATGGTTTTCATCGGAGGCATCCACTGTGGCAAGAAGAAGAAGCCGTTATCTCAGGTCAGTGGCTGGCTGGGAGAGGTTGTGGCAGTCACACACCTGCATGGTCCAAGTGAGGTATTTGAGAGGGATGTATCTTATCTGTCTCTTGGAGGGAGACTCTTTACAAAAGCCTGAGGTGTTGTCACAAGGGCAGTGGCTTTAAGCTGCCAGAGGAAAGGATTAGAGGAGATATTGGGAAGAAATTCTTCCCTGTGAGGGTGGTGAGGCCCTGGCACAGGTTGCCCAGAGAAGCTGTGGCTGCCTCAGCCCTGGATGTGTCCGTGGCCAGACTGGACAGGGCTTGGAGCAAGCTGGGAGAGTGGGAGATGTCCCTGCAGGAAGTAGAATCGGATGTGCTTTAAGGTGCTTTTAGTCCAAACCATTCTGGGATTCTACCTAAGGATAATATTTAGTTTAAGCCTTTCTGTATAGCCAATCCACATAAAAACCAGGAACAAAAAATGTGATTCCAGCTCCTTTCTGTAAGTCTGTGCAACATGGGTTTTTGGTTTTGTTTTTGGTTTTTTTTTTTGGTTATGGCATCACGTGCTATACTGTGTTTAATTCCAGCTGAAATCAGGCACAGAAATTCTCGGGCAGGAATTAATGCCAAAATGGGCTAGTGAATTATAACAGCTCTTCCAATAATTTTTTTTTTCCTCGAGTAGAATGCATGGGAATATTTCTTCAAGACCATTAGCTGCTTATCTAGTCAGAAAAATACCTCATTGGGTCATGTGCAAGAGGATCACGTTCTCTGTTATGTACCAGCAGTTTTTGAGTCAAAGGCTCATATTTTGTGGTGAAAGTTTTGGTCTAACAGCTTCCATGAAAACCAGCTGAAGTCTCAGCTGATATTTTAGGACACATACAGGTAGGATGAGGAAATTTTGATGGGTTGTTCCTGGGGTATCTGTGGTCTAAAAAGCCCTTGATTAGCTCGCTGCTGCTCACGATGTACATTAGCTTCTTGCTGCATGTGATGCACATTCTTACTTGCTTGTGCTGTCAGTGGAACAGTGTCATGCAAAGCCAGGGATTAAGTGGAAGAGGAATAAAGGAGAAGGGAACTCTCCTCAGCAGTGATGGTAGCAACTTGATCTGCAGTTAGCGTCATGCTGCTCTCTCAGCAATACATCATTTGGTTTCCTAAAAAGTTTTATCTTTGTGAACATTACTTAAAAATCAATAAACTCTCCCTCTTCTTCCCTCGAACTTTTTTCACTTGCCAGCCTTTCCAAAGCCCTTAGAATGGATTCTTCTGGCCTAGCACCACTCTTGTTCTTCCCTCACATTCACAGGCTTTTGTGAACATGAATGAGAGAAATTTCACAAAAAAAGAGATTGGCTCTTCACACCTTTCCCGAGCCAACCTTCCTACCTTTGGGCTTTGCTTCACTCCTCGAACTTCCCTCAGCTTCATTGAGTTGTTTGTTTCTGTTGCTCTGCTTTTTCACAAAAGTCTCTTTCCAGTTGTTACCAAGCCCCCCTGTTATCAGGGTGATGCTTTTTCCTGTCTCTTTTGCCCATCAGAGCTGCCTTACAGCTGCTCAAGGACCAGGCAGTTCCTCTGGGAAAGCAGCAGGCCATCCTGCCTGCAGGCAAAGCCATGGAGCAGCTCCAGTGTGGAACCAAACTCTTCTCTGAGGGCAAGGTTCCATCTCCTTTTTCGTTTTTTTTCTTTTTTTTTCCCCAGGGGTAGAGATCATAGTCCAGCAGCAATATTTATTGCAGAAATGCTCCTGATTTCTTCCTATCTCTCCCAGAAGGAGAAAATGACAGAGAGAAATAGATCAGGATGAGAACAAATAGTAGAGTGTGTGACAGCATCAACCCAGTGGTTTTCCTTTACTGATGCAAACCCTCTGCTTCTCCAGTGGATTAAATTCCTACCTGGTGGTGCTCCTGGCTCCAGTGCTGAGCTACATGAGCTACATGTAAATCCCAGAGCCTCTTCCTACGGGTTTACATAGATATTGTGCTGTATAGTGTCACACACTTTTATAATTTTAAACATGAACTCACCAAGCATTTCAGAACAGCTGCAAAATCCTTCTCAAAAAGAATGACACAAACAAGGTATTTTAGTACATGGTTTCAACAAGCCTGGTTACTTCCAAGTGCCAGCACTATTCTTGGGGTTTTATTTTGGCAAAGCCTGATTTTATTTTCAATCCAGCATCAATCAGCACAGATTGAGGCTCAAGGGAGCCCTATTTACCAAGCCCAGTTCCACCCAACCTGTGAAGAACGCCAATAACTTTTTTTTGTTTTTAAAATTTTAACAGTGTAATAGTAATAAAATTATTATAAAAATAGTAATATAATTAGAGTAATAAAATTTGAACAGTTGAGATTAGGACAATATGAGACAATAAAAACAAAGAGATACAGACGGCCGGGTACCTTTTTCTGGGCAACACAAGCCCGAAAAAGGACCCCCGTTAACAGAGAATTAACCCTTAAAAACAGTCGCCTGTTGCGTATTCATACATCTCATATATGATGCATAAACTCCATTCAAACACAGGATTCTGTCTGGTCAGTGTCAACTTCTTCCTCTTAATCCTCATACCGTGTTCCTGTCTGAGCGAGGTGGGAAGTAGTTTTCTTCTGATAAGGGAGCAATAAATTCCCTTTCTCTGAAAGATTTAGTGTCCTGTCGCTTTTAGCTGGTGTGAGTCCTTTTTAAAACAAGTATCTTACATAGCATAGTTTCTGTTTTAACATTATGTTATGACCTAAAACTATATTTAAGAAAATTAATACAGCATAACTTTCTAATATACACATACAATACTCATTTTAATACTTGCGAAAAGCCAGTCATAAAATACACATTTTTCACACAACCCACTTCATTAATCACTGAAATGGTTCATCAATACCTTCAATAGTTACCAGTGAATGGTTCTGCTGGAAAAGCTGGGTTGTTAAGGGGGAATGTGGGAATCTGGCAGGGCGCTGTGGCTGTGTTTAAAAGCTGCTAGGTCAGGGCAGATGAACAGAATCTGGATTTCTGCGAACATGGCTCCTGTGGGTAAAAACAGCTCTGCAGCTTTGGCAGAGATTCTGCTTTTTCTGTCCCTGCTGTGCTCGGCTCATGGTGGGAAGCTGCTGGTGGTGCCTATGGATGAGAGTCACAGGCTCAGCCTGCGCTCACTGCTGGTGGTCCTCAGCCAGAAAGGCCAGCAAATTGTCACCGTGGCACCAGATACGAACTCGAGCATGGAGGCATCTGCATATTACAGCCTCAAAAGGTATCCAGTGTGGTTATGCCAGGACGAGCTGAGAGCACACGTGGGAATGATTTGGAATGATCCTTTTGAAAGAAAACATTTTTGTCAAAGAATTAATGCTCTCCTTGAAAACGTCCAGCTCATCTCCAACCTCTACACCTCCTCCTGCGGCAGTCTGCTGCGCAACAAGGATCTGACGCAGTATCTCCAAAGTTCTCTCTTGTACTGTGCGGACAAATCCCGGCTCTGCATCTCTCAGTCCTGTCTGTTTTCTTTCTCAGGGGATTTCCCTGCAGTTTGGATTTGCAGGTTGCTCAGTGCCCAGGTCTGCCTTCCTTCATCCCAAGAACATTTACGGACAGCTTAGACCACATGGCGTTTATTCAGCATGTGGAAAACTCAGCTCTCAAGTTCATACGTTTCTTTCTTTGCCATTTTGCCTATTTCCCATTTAAATTCAGGCATCAGATGTTCTTCACAGACAAGTAACAGAAGAGTTCTTAAGCCATGGATCCATTTGGTTTGAAATAAGAGATTTTGGGTTTGAGTATCCCATGCCAGTATGAGAAACAACTGCTCACCTTCAAAAAATTTTAAAGGTTTATTAAACCTTAACAAAAAAATACAACAAAAGGACTAAATAAGGAAAAATTACAGCACTGGGAGTCCCTGTGATTATCAGTGTCATGGTTTGACCCTGGCACAATGCCAGGGCTCCCATGAAAGGTAAGTTTCTAAAATTGTTACTGTGAGATGTGACTTGGAAATAGAACAAAGCAGGTTCCAACTTGGGAATGGAGGGAAAAACACAACACTTTATTAATTTACAACATAAGAGACAAAAATGAAAAAAAACAAACAGACAAACAAAAAAAAACCCACAAGGACAGCTGTCCCCCGCTATATTTCACCCCCTGGGGCCGAGGGGCCTCATGAACAGAGATCCTTCTCTGCTGGAGGCAGAGGGCTCCACCACACCTTCCCCATCAGTCTCTGTTCCCTCTACTTCTTCTCACAATAGTTTTGTCACTGCTGGCTTCTGGCCAACTGCCTCCCCCAAGGTGCAGTCTCCACATTACAGGAAGATTTGGTTCTGTCCCATGGCCATGTAAGAGGAAAGTCCAGCCAAGGGGCCACTCCAAATCATCTCCTCCATCTAGGGCGCTTCTCATCTGCTGGTATTTCTTCACTCACTCAAGCCTTCTTCTCATTTGCCCATCCTCCATCCCCTCTAAACTCTCAGCTGGGGAAGATCAGTATTTTTTACAGCTTCCACTGTCCCAACACCAAAGGAGTTAAAACTCCAGCCGAGGTCTGCCGGTCTTGCCCCCTCCTCTTGTTCTCCTGGCCATGGTGCCAGCACAAGATATCAAATTTCAAGCCAGCACAGTCTCTATCACTCTCTCCCGGGGGGGGGGCTGCCCAAAACATCCCAGGTCTCCACCCCTGTACCTTGCAGGGCCCCGGCCTCCCTCCCCACAGGCCGCATGGCCTCCCCTGCCCCACCCAGACACAGCTGGGCAAGGGAGAGGTCAGACTCTACTCACCACCAGATCAACAGAGAAAGTTCTCTGGGAATCTTCTGCTTTTAACCCCTGTGTGTTCTCAGAGGCGTATCTAAATCTTCAGTGGCCACCACAGGTGCCAATTTCAAATCCGGCCACTGAGTGGTTTGACCACCACTTTTCCAGAAACTCACTTCCAGGCCAAACCACAACAATCAGCCACTCACTCATCTACAAAATGGATGCTCTGCTTTTTATGTCTTTAGCCCCTCCC